AAATCCTCACGGGCTAAAATTCGTGAACACTGCATTCAAATTTTAACAATGAGTGATTCAATAGTTTTCGGGTTTTTTTGAGATAGAGTCACAAATGAATTCAATCCCTTGTGAAGTTCTAATGAAGTGAACGCTTATCTAATTCTTTAGCTACATTTTGCATAGTTAAGTCCTAGTTAACTCTAAAATACACGATTCTGATTGGCCAATTCGGTCCTTAACTACAGTTAAAAGTTAACTAGTTTTTTATACAACTGGCCCCTCCTGCTTTTCCAGTATTACCCTGGCCAGTGAATAAAAATCAGGGATTATATAAAGCTCAGTGTTTCTGATGTATATTCCTTCCACTGTCGTTTAAGATAAACCTGGCTGAACTGCTAAAGCACGTTTTTCAAGTAGCTGGGGAATTAACTGCGCATGCGCTAGTCTAGCTAATATAATTTCCTGTAGAATTGAGATAAATGACGGCTTGCAGATGTTCCTGGAATAATATCACAGCACTGTGCAACACATGCTCTAATATTTATCGACTTCGTCGTATTCACGTCCAATTTGTTTGAATTTTATTCAAAATTTTATAAAAAACTTTCAGATAATGGTGTCTTTCACTGACTCATGTTGGTGGTATACATGTTCTGGTATGTTGCATTTATACACAATGACTACAAGGTATCCCTGTGTTAGTTTTAGGACGGAAGCGGTTAGCTGAATATTGCTTGTTGTTAACAGTGTGAACCACTGAACCTTGCATGACCTAACAAATTTTACTAGAAATTTGTGTATCGAAAACTCCAGATTCTGTGAAAATGGCTACCACAGTTACTCGTCTCTCTTCATAGAAACCTTCACTCTGACTCTACAGTGATATATCAGAACTTACCTGAAAGAATTATCTACTTATTAGTCGATCCTTTATCTTCAACAATGTTTTCGAGCCTGTGACATAATCCTTTATGGCCATGCGTGAAAGTACAAGTACATTTCATTATCAAATATAATGTAACAACCTGTTAAGTCATAACGAGGTCATGAGAACCGGCAGTTTAGAATACAGGCGCGGATCTAGACCGTATCGAACGTGGCTCGAGCCACGGTCAGATTTTCCCATCCAAAATTTCCCATCTGCAATCTAATATTCACACATTATTTAGAAGTACATATTAATTCTTTGAATCACACCAAAATTAAGGAAATATATGTCTAAAACAAATAATTTGAGTAATATCTTTCGTAATCGTTGTCATATTATTACCAATTCCTGCTAAAAGTGGGAACAAATTCCCAATTATTATTCCTTGTTACTCCGGCGTCAGCGACGGAGTTGAAAATTCGCCTCGGTTTTGTTTTGTTTTTGGTTTTTTTTTTTTATTATTTTTCGTCGTCGCAAGTCTGAAATGGCGCGAACCATTCTAGTATTTGAAATGTGTATGTAACCGTATTTATCTACGTCCCAGTCTTATCTCCCAAGAGTTGTGGTGTACAGCTTTGGCTAATTTTCCGATGCGCGATTCGATTTCGCTCGCATGATACGGCAATTCCTCCAAGAGGAACAAATATACCGTTGTTTTCATGCTGTTCGATTAAGTTTAGATTGAATTGGGGCAAGAATATATTTAATACATGTAGATTCTGGTCCTATTTTAATAATATCGCTGCTATTTCGCCGTTTAACATAATGATGTGGTCGTGTATGGGCGCGTTGACACGTCGTTAGTTTGCACAGGATTGAAAATATGATATATAAGCGCCTATTCCAAAAGCAAAGTGTAAGACAAAGCGAATGTATCGTGCAGTTTATTTACATTTTTGAACAATTGAACTTCTATACTTTTTAAAGTACGATGTGCTTCTAAATTTCGCGATCGAACATTTATAGGTTCGCAACTCGCAAGGCATTTAAATGCGAATATGAACTGTATTGTTTATGTTCAGAAGCTCTATATTGAAGACTGGCACGTGCGCCGGAGTTAACGCCAGAACAGGCGTCTTGTTTCATATTACGATTGTTCAGTTAACACTGAACTATAAAATTCGCCGAAAGCTTGCCGAATTGTGCCGAGTATGTTCGGAAGCAAGTCGTGCATTCGAAGCTGCGATCACAGCAACTAGTTGACACGGTCAGCGTGCAGATTATTGCGCAATTGTTACTAAATATAGTAACGCTCGGACACGGTGCAGTGTAGCAAACCAATCACAGGGCAAGCTTTTGCCACGTGAGCCACGGTGCGACACGGTGCGACACGGTGGCCTGTTTTTGATTGCGCAATAAACATGATAAACAATAAAGTTCGACACTTCTCGACTTCGAACTCGGATATAGTTTAGACATAACACGTTAAATTGGTCTGTTCGCTGCATCCTGGCTGATTCAGGCTGAATCGAATGCATTAATACATGAATCCGTCGAAATTTCTCAAAAGCAAATCTAAGTGAGCATATTTCAGGGGAAATATCGCTCTTCAGGCTACAACATGATGGAATTATTACTAAAGACAGGCTTCGCTCGCTCGCGTTTACAATCGCAAAGACAATTTTTAAACTGCACTTAACTGCTATTTCCCAAGAGACAAATACTGAAAATCTTTACCCAATGTCCTTGTAAGGTAAGACTTTTAGGTTTTAAATCGAACTATGGGCGCTCTCCTTTATACGGAAAAACGGCCAGACCGCCAGACCGGTTCTGTTGTATTTCGGTAGTCGGTACAGACAAAAGTATATCGTTATTTACATCTGCCTAACACAGGAAATGCAGTTTCACCGCTATATTCTTAACGAAATACTCTATTTCAATTTAAAATATGACCGGTCTGACCTTTTTGGCCGCTTAATGGAAAGCGCCCTATGATACAAATTTGCATTTACGCTGTGAATAATTTGTGTATGCAAATTTCACGTTATGTTGAGTGTGAATGAAATATCCGTAAATACCTAACCAAAAATTTTGAAAATGGTTTTGTGGTTTTATGAAAGTACAGGGATTTACAATATTCGCTTTTAAACGTTCCCTGAAGAATATTGTAGAACCAAAGCTCAGAAAATGTTTGTTTCGGTGGGTCCATAGCCCCTTCGCCATACGCCCCCAACCTTCCCCCCCCCGACCGGAAAATTTCTAGTCCAATATGACACGGTCAGATTTTCGGCTGGATCCGCGCCTGGAATATATTGCGAGATTGCAACAAAAGCGAAGGGCTTGTATTTAAAGGTGAAAATTAGTTTATTAAATCTCCAAATTAGAGAATTAGATCTTATCTCTCTATCGTAACACGATGTAGTGAAGGCTGTTCCCGCCACGTTGATTTTGTCCGCGCGGGAAAATACGCAGTACACTTTGGTTTTGAACTTTGCTGTGCTTTTCTTCTTTGTTAGACAGCGCCTTTTCTTAAGTGCGAAGCAGTATTGCTCATGATTGCTGTCAGAATTGCTGTATTTTTTATGTAATTCATATTACTCTTCACCAAATAAATTTGTGTCTATTTTCCTGCGTTTCCGCTCGACGGTTTGTTGATAATGATATTTTCCGCGATGCGTTAACGGCAAATTCTGGCTTTTCGCCTTTTCCTAGATTTGTTGATTGAATTAATAAATTTCAATAGCTGAAGTTAATAGATCAATTAAAGATTTTCAAAATCTCTCCGCAGCAAATTTTTCCCTATTTCTCGCATTCAAATAGTCATGCACACACTTAAAGTCATTAAAGCAATATTCTACGACATCAACAACCTTGGTAATGAATGCAAGACGTCGACAATATGGACTGGCGTCTGATCAAAGCCATTTTAGGCTAAGCTGCCCATATTAGGAAAGGCGAAAAGAGAATTTAGCTTGCTATATTTCATAGTCAACACAAGCGTTAAAGAATCTTTAATTTCTCGCTAAATATAATTTCTCTTATGAAATAATATAATCGAGTCTGCCATATAACTAAACGATTTGAATAATAGATGTTCCTATCACAATTAATATAAAATTTGCACTGTTTAATTTTAAATCAAGTATATAATGCAAATTATACCGTATTGAACTGCCGTACTCAATATAGACTAAAGACAACGAACAACATTAATTGCCATTGGTATTTAATAATTATTTAACCCTTCTTTGTTTATCTACATGCACTAGCCTTCTTTCGCGGAAAAGAGAAAACAAAAAAGACATTTCAAGTCAGCAGACACGGATGGAATTTATTTTCCTCAAATGACATCTAGATAGTTTGTCTCAAAGACAAAGGCCCGATCAATTCTCAGATATTTGGGTCATCATTATCAATTACAATAATTATACAGACTGCGAGACCGAGCTAGGTTTTCGTTCAGAGTGTGTGCATTTGCTGTACGAAAATTGCCTACAATATTAAACAACATTGTCCTTGGCACACTGCACTTGCACTAAGGCGCCACGTCCATATTCATGTTGCCACGCAAAACGTCGAATCGACGTTATCGTCTGTACCTACCCATGCACGCAGCTCAAATAACGTCAACCGTGGCAGTCATATTTTAATTAATGTTTCGTATTTGACTAGCAAGTTGATCACGCCATTATAAATATCAGTTAATATTTTAAAACATTGTGTGTAATGACAATATACAGGCGGTTGTAGTAATTCATGACGACGACACTATTTTGCAGCAGATCGATTGAAAAACTGAAGTGAGTTCCACGTCAGTATTCTTTTAATCTTTCTCAAATATTGTATTTTGTTGCCACACGATAACGTCGAGAGCTCGACGTAAAAACCCACCCATCCACGTATAACGTCGATTCAACGTTTTGCGTGGCAACATGAATATGGACGTGGCCCCTAAATCGATCATCTTCTTTCAAAAACGCCTGTACTCTGCTTCTACGGTGATATAACATGACTTACCTGAAGCGATTATCTTCTTCTGAGTCAATCCGAATGGGTCCAAACAAATTTTAGAGCCTTTCGTAGCTTCTGAGATCCGTTCAAAGTACATAAATTAATATATTGACTTTTTACTTTTTACCAGTGAGCTGCTTTTGACATATGTTACCGGTTTTTGTCACAATCATGTTGCATGTCATACTATGTATGGCAGTGCTTCCACTTGCGAGGATTTTTCCCGAAGAAAGAAAATCTGCTTATTGCAGAAATCTGCTTATCTGCTTATTGAAATGTGCAAGGAAATAAAACCTACAAAGAGATGGCAGAGAAAAATGCTTTTAAATGCGGAAGATGCGTGGATATATGCGATTTTTTTGTTTTTATCACTTAAAATATCGACAAGTCGTTGCCCAACTTGTCTTACGTATTTACTTGTTGACTTTCGTGACTGTTTTTTTCGTGACATATACCTTGTGATATATAATAAAATGCTGGCTAATTAATTTCAATTCGATTTGTGCACGTGCTCTTATCTTTTTATAATACTGTAACGTGAAAACGTATTTTCAAACCCCACAACGTAAAGTAATTCGACTCGCCAAAGGCGACGTATAAACTAAGCCTGAGATGTAATTCATGCGAGAAAAACAAAAAGATGGCCGGCAAATCTGAGTTTCTTAAATCCAACTTTCCGAGGAAACGCCATACATCATAGGACTTTCAAGGACTTCTTTTGCTGCCATGCTGATTTCTTCCCAAACGAATGGCTCGCACACGTTGTTCATTGGATTAGCTGGGTCCATTACCAACGGCCTGAAAATTGGAAATAATTATTATATATGACACAGTTTTTTTATGAAAGCGATTCATTGATCACACCAAACAATCGCGTAATTCGACACCGCAGAAATTGGTGTTTAAGACGTTTCAACCCGAAAATCTAATCGCTGGTTCACAATTGTGCATTTCTGTATCGCCCTATCAAAGAGAAACCTTTTGAATATCTTAAAAAAGTTCAATTTTTCTTCTGAATACGCATTCTGCAATCTTTTGACAGCTCATCATACACATCTGACCGCTGTGAAATGGCCATTTTGAGGCTTAAAGTATACACAAGGTTATTAATTCAGACGATTCGTTTTTACCGTGAGCAAGCTTCAAATCTTTTGTGCAAGACATATTTTCTTGAATATCTATAAATCTTTTTCCTCACCAAGTTTGAAGTCTAAGTATCGAGAATTGCGGCTAAGCCTATACCAATTTCCGCGGTGTCGCGTAATTCTATGAGAACAAAACAAACTACTGCTGCCGAACAGTTTTACCCAAAAATGCCAGAACTTTGCAACATTGAGAAGTTTTGATGCCGGTAATAAAGTTCGTATTCTACCTAAGTCTGCCAAATCTATTTGTCCAAATACATCAGTCTTGAAGAACAATTGGGGGCAACTACCGTCTGCCGATCGCCTAGCTGTGATATTCGTCTGGTAAAAACTGTTAACAATTAAAATAACATACTAAAAATAGAAAACCTTTCAGTTTGATTGCAAAAATGTTCTAGGGAAAATATAGTTTTTTGCATGTTTACTTTTTACGAAGTTGCTATGATTGTTGCTGTTTTAAAATGTGATTGTTTGGTTTCAAAAAGACTAATACTTTAAAATTGTCTCACGACTCGTTAAATCTCGGTTACCGGGCTCGTGTGAACAGCCCTTAATAAGAAAATACAGAAAATATTCGCACCGAAATTCGCAGCAGAAATCGCATGTGCGTATTCAGTAGCGTAGTCAGCCCGACGATTTGTCCGCTATGCTGATGTTTTGGTGTTCATTGACCGTGAAAACAATGAATTTCTAAAGACATGAATAATTATTATAACTCTAAATTTACATAGCGGGACAAAATCCTCAGGCTGGCTACGCCACTGTGCGTATTTAACTTTAGATTTTTACCGTGTGCATCGAACGTGGTATGGTATGTCGGTTATCCGATAATTCTCTGTCCAAATAACGTTTAGAGATTGATATTCGTTTAAAGTTTTCATGACCCCATGGAACGCTTTCAACGTTTTAAACCTTTCATCTCTATCCGTATTTTCCTCCCAAAGATGAATTATAATCAATTCCATAAGGTATGAATTTGGGATTCGTCGACCAGACGAGAAATCCGGGACCATTTTCTTTTTCCAGTATTTGACAAGGCGAATTAAACTTTTTACTTTGGTTGGACAATCATCAAAAAAGTCCACCTAGGAATTTTCAAGAGGTATTTCTTGAACCACTAGAGATGAAATGAGCACAAACATAAATAGAACATCCGTATGAAATACAGCGTACCTGCTGTTCAGCTAACGCCACGCTATAATACTCCTTGTTGTGCGTGTCAGTTTTCATTTTCCGATACAGACTTTGCAGATCTAAGAATGTATGAAGCAAAATGGTTTGTTGTTTGTTTTTTTGGAACGTACAGTGGTGCTTATTTCTTGAGAATTTCGATAAATTATTATATTCATCAATGTATGAAATAAAACTAGATTGAGTAGTACTACTTTTTTTATACCTGTAACTTTAAACGTGGGTAAGAGGTCAACATCAATTTTTCCATGTTCTCCCTGAACTGAAAATTTCACTAAAAATCTTGCGTTGGTTAGAGAGTTAGGAATTATAGCGAGTTTTGCTCTATTTTGTCTCAACTTTCCTATAACGTCATTTATAATCGTCGGTAGATTTTCCTTCAGTTCCGCTGCATCTTCCACTTCATTTAAAACCATGACAAGATCAATATCACATCTCCCTTTGACAGCCGTTCCTTTCCCTAGCGATCCTCCCTAGATAATGCAATAAATCACTTTTTTTTTCACCCAATCTGAATCGAGAATGCGTTGAAACGTCATAAAACAGCTTCTTTATGAAGCCCAGTTTCCTTTTAATAGTAATGGTCGTGAACGAATCATTTTCACTGATGAGAAATAGCTCGGATGTGAATTTGACATTTTTTCTGTGCGGTCATTGTTCACTGGATACAAATAGAATTTTTTTTTAATATATCCTTAATATTTCCTTAAATATTTTGATGATCTTTTTTTTCCGCAATTTAAGACTTTTATAGTCTCACTCTTCAATAAAAAAATTTCGCTTTCCGCAAAACGTGCAGTGGTGCCAATTCCTTTATATACATTACATATTTATCATGTCGGCATTTTGTGCGTGTTCAACCGCGCCCTGGAGCATAACGTTTCTTTTGTTTGTCATATTACCCTAGTCGATTGAAGAAAATTCCAATTTTAGTTCGCACTGAGACGAAACTTCATTTAGATTTGTTCGGTGGTCATTTGTGAGGGTAATACCTTTACAATTTTATCAGGCCTCATTTCTTGGTGTAGGAACAAGCATATTTTGGCAATGGCTCTTTTCATTTCTGCGTTAAATTCATCGGTAGGTTGTAAATTTTTCGCAATATATCTGTTAATATCTTTGCGTTTCAAAGAGCTGCGAAAATCTACGGTATCTAAAAATAAAGACCTTTTCTAAAATAAATGCAATTTTTCATTAAATTAAGCCAGTGGTTGAGTATTTTGCATTCAGCTACATTTTTCATTATTTGCTCAGTTCCACGTGCAAACGTCGGTATTACTTCGACAATACCTATATTTGGCACTGTTTCAAGTGCTTCGGCTAAACCTGCATCGCATTCTTCGCCTAACACACGTATTCTGCTCTCATTAACATCCTCGAAGAATGGGTCGATGTCCCAAGTGGCATGTGAACTGCGGACATGTGAACTGCAGGCATTTGCAGACCCTTACAATGCAATGAAAAAGAATTTCAAAAAGTCAGTTCACAAAACGGACTAAAGAATCAGCTAAGCTGCGAAGAAGCGAGTACACTGTTGCCATATGCAATAAGGCGTTGCATAGCAGTGAGGAAGATAGCTAGTTAACCGGCTAAGCATTGTATTGACTATGAGAAATAGTAAAAATGTTTCTATAGTTATGGATCCATTAAGATTTTCTGTGGCTGTACGTGGTTAAAGCCGTACTGCGTACGTTTTTATGTACGAGTTTTAAATAATATTTAGATAATATTTGATATAGTAAGTACAAACTCATCAATATTTTTATCCATATGTTATGAGATTAAAAAGATATTGTTAGAGAGCTATGCAACATTTTTCTCACGCTACATCGCTATATATTATACAAAATGCATAATGACACCGAAATGCTTCACAAAATACACTCTGAACTACAGACCTTTTTAGTACTGACAATACACACCAACTAATATGCCAATTCGAGGTAACATATCAAGTTACAAAGCAGAAATAATTCAATTGTGCACGAAAATGTATGATGTTTTAGAAGTTTAATCTCGTATAGGGTGTTTGTATGTGCATGCGAGACTTACAAATTAGGAGACATACGTCTATTTGTTCGAAGTGTGAAAAGGGTAACCACTTGCCCCCGCGCTGCCCCCGTGGCTCCGGCGCCCCGTTGACACGTTAATGCATAATGCATAATGACACATTAAAAATTCGGTTTTGCTTTTTCAGACACCCTGTATCAGCTATCGCATTGTACTGTACTTTACACGAGGGCTAATTACGTTCAACTTCAAGCATAATCATGCAGCATATATATTAACCATACAGTCCCATTCTTCTCTGCGCGGATCAATTAAAAGCTAAACTTTCGGGCGTGGGCATGGTTTTCCAGGAAAAATTTAGAATTCAAAACTCTTAGAAATTTAGAACTCTCTCGGAAATGGGTTGTTTTGCACTCCTTCAGAAAAAAATTCCCCTCCTATACTTGATGAATAATTACAAAACTTACTAATACCAATACCGCCCAATCTGGGTGGGTTGTATTCCCGTTTGCTCGGATGCCTCATACCCCTGCATCTTGTCCCGGGAATGCCCGAAGTTGAGGCAGAATCGGTATCTATGAAAGAATCCGAAAGATGCAAAATTTAGCCATCTATTTAATTGTTATGAGCAGCACTGTGGTGCCGATGCGAATGCATATATTACATTTAAAGACAAAAATCGTGAAATTGAAAATTGGATTATATCTGGCATGCCTTTGTTCAAAGTTAAGTGGTACATTAAGATGATTATTACCCACTTTGCTTAGCGTTGTCATCCTATTTCCTCGTATGTAACAGAATGTTAACACTAATTTTAACATTATTTTGTTGAACTAAACAGTCTAAATGTGTGGCTGCTAACCCGAATTTAATTGCAAGACGGTATTATTTATAAAGATGCCTTTGCACGAACTCAAATTTTAGAGCAAGAAATATATTTTTGAATTACATCTCTCCACTTTGTTATTACATGTATCAAACATTACGTGTTAAAACCGATCTTGCAAGAATATCAATTTCCCCTGCAAATCGGACGGCGTGAAGTGATAACAACTCTCCCTGAGAAGTATACATATGAACGAAACATGAAAAATATTATAATTACCTGACTGATTCCGTTTTTCAAATGCCTCGAATACTTTTCTTGCCGTGTATACAATTCCGCCTACTACCAATGCTCCCATGAAGAGTGTCTCAACTTTATTGAAAAAATTATGTCATATATATTTATAGTCATTTAAATTGACTAAACATGCAAGAACGTTGCTATAGTCGATGATGAATTCTTGCTAACAGGGAGTCAGTGGTCACCTATATAGTATAGGTCAGTGGTCACCACAGGCTCGGTGAATATTGTTGAATAAAAACATGGACTTGGTATTCGGCGAAAATATGTTAATCATGCCATTGGTATTGTCCCTACTATAAGAAATATACTATATACTATATACTACAAGAAATAAATATACTATATACTACAAGAAATACATGCATGGAAAATCCTCTCGCCTGAAGCAATTAACATATATTTCCAACAGCGAAATTTTATAGTACTCGTTGCTTTCCCAATCAAAATAATTTTAACGGCGCTTCGCACCGGCTCGGAGACAGTGAACACAAATGAGACTGGAACGCTCACTCTCTGACTTTCTCTCATTAATGAGTGAAGCCAAGAAGGGGGATCATGAAGCCTTTCTTGTAGGTATGATCCAGGCCTCTGGCGCGGAAATTTCAAAGAAAAAATCATAATTGCCGCTATTTTACCTACGAAATTTCCTCGTGGAGGCCTGGATCATACCTACATTTAACAAGAAAGGCTTCATATTCCGCCATCTTGGCTTCAAACTTCCGACAGAGTGAGCGTTCCAGTCTTATTTGAGTTCACTGCTCGGAGATGATAATGGCCATGTTGGATTAAATTTTCGTTATTGCAAAGGCACTGGTTGTTTGCTTACATGGAGAGCTTTCGTCCTCGTTTTTCGACTTCGTACAATTCTTTTTATGCCGATCCAACGAAAAGCGATTGGGAAATAACTCGCCGCACACATTGCAAGTGTATTGCATTTTCTTGAATGTGATATTAGGAGAATATCCTTTGTCCCACTTTAGCTCAATTTCAGATCAACTAACACCACGACACAGCAACTCTATTAACTGAAAAACAATGTGGATATCTCTTAAAGTCAGCATAAATAACACAATGCATAAAGAAAACGAACTGCGTTAAAGTCGGAAATATTTTTAAATATTGTTAAAGGTTGTTACACAACGCATATCGCATTTGGTACATTCTCTGGCCTGCCATTTCTCTGGGAACTCCGCTTTGACATGTTAATCAACTTTCTAGCCAATCAAAATGCCCTGGTCAGACGGTTGCATAAAAATCTGGGACACGTTGTAAGAATGGATGTTTTTGAAGTATATTCCTTTTACTGTGGTAATGGTATTGGCTGAACGACTGGAGCATGTCTTCAAGTGGCCGAGAAATTAACTATGCATACGCGAGTCTAGCTAATACTTCCTGTCAGTGGCGTAGCCAGCCTGACGATTTTGTCCCGCTATGTAAATTTCGAGTTATAATTGTTCATGTCTTTAGAAAACTATTGTTTTCACAGTCAGTGAACGCAAAAATATTAGCGTAGCGGGACAAATCGACAGGCTGGCTGACGCTGCTGCTTCCTGTAGAATTGAGATAAATGGCGTCGACGTCTTGCTCGCCTACGTCTTAAACGCGGGTTCAGCAGCTACGACGTACACTACGTCTTCCTGGCATTTCCTGAATAATATCAAAGCAAAACACGCTTTACAGCCCCATAATATTATTGAATTATCGTCTTGATATTCACGTCTAATTTCTTTGAATTTTTTCAAAACCTTTGAAAGTAATGTCTATATTTCACTTATTCCGTATTGGTATACATGCTCTGGTATGTTGCACTTATACACAATGGCTATATGGCATCCCTGCGTTAGCTTTGGGACGGGAGCGGTTAGCTGAACCTGAATATATCTTGTTGTTAACAGTGTGAACCACTGAACCATGACCAAACAAGTAAGTTTTACTTGAAATTTGGGTGTCGAAAACTCCAGATTGTGTAAAAAGTGGCTATCATAGAAACTTTCTTCATAGATTCTTTCACTCTGACTCTACAGTGATATATCAGAACTTACCTGAAAGAATTATCCTCTTATTAGTCGATCCTTTGGCTTCAACCGTATTATCAAGCCTGTGACATAATCCTATATGGCCATGCATGAAAGTACAAGAACATTTTATAATCAAAAATAATGTAACAACCTGCTAAGTCATAACGAGGTCGTGAGCACCGGCAGTTTAGCATATGATTATTGCGAGATTGCAACAAAAGTGAAGAGCTTGTAATTAAAGGTGAAAATTAGTTTATTAAATCTCCAAATTAGAGAATTAGATTTAATCTTTCTATTGTAACACGATGTAGTAAAGGCTGTTTCCGCCACGTTGACTTTGTTGTCCGCGCGGGAAAGTACGCAGTACACTTTGGTTTTAAACTTTGTGCTTTTCTTCTTTGTTAGACAATTGCCTTTTCTTAAGTGCGAAGCAGTATTGCTCATGATTGCTCTCAGAATTGCTGTATTTTGTATGCAATTCATATTTCTCTTCACCAAATAAATTTGTGTCTATTTTCCCGCGTTCCCGCTCCACGGTTTGTTGATAAAGATACTTTCCGCGATGCGTTAACGGCAAATTCTGGCTTTTCGCCTTTTCCTAGATTTGTTGATTGAATTAATAAATTTCAATAGCTGAACATAATAGATTGGTAATTAAAGTTTTAGAAAATCTCTCTGCAGCAATTTTTTTCCTATTTACTGTATTCAAATTGTCATGCAGACACTTAAAGATAAAGCAATATTCTACGACATCAACAACCTCGATAATGATATGCATGACGTCGACAATATGGACTGGCGTCTGATCAAAGCCATTTTAGGCTAAGCTGTCCATATTAGGAAAGGCGAAAAGAGAATTTAGCTTGCTCTATTGCATAGTCAACACAAGCGTTAAAGAATCTTTAATTTCTCGCTAAATATAATTTCTCTTATAAAATAATATAATCGAGTCTGCCGTATAACCGTATAACGATTTCAATAATACATGTTCCTATCACAATTAATGTAAAATTTGCACTGTTTAATTTTAAATCAAGTATATAATGTAAATTACACCGTATTGAACTGCCGTACTCAATATAGACTAAAGACAACGAACAACATTAATTGCCATTGGTATTTAATAATTATTTAACCCTTCTTTGTTTATCTACATGCACTAGCCTTCTTTCGCGGAAAAGAGAAAACAAAAAAGACATTTCAAGTCAGCAGGCACGGATGGAATTTATTTTCCTCAAATGACATCTAGAGAGTTTGTCTCAAACACAAAGGCCCGATCAATTCTCAGATATTTGGGTCATCATTATCAATTACAATAATTATACAGACTGCGAGATCGGCCTAGGTTTTCGTTCAGAGTGTGTGCATTTGCTGTACGAAAATTGCCTACAATATTAAACAACATTGTTCTTGGCACACTGCACTTGCACTAAGGGGCCACGTCCATATTCATGTTGCCACGCGAAACGTCGAATCGACGTTATCGTCTGTAGCTACCCACGCAGCTCAAATAACGTCGACCGTGGCAGTCATATTTTAATGTTTCGTATTCGACTAGCAAATTGATCACGCCATTATAAATATCAGTTAATATTTTAAAACATTATGTGTAATGACAATATACAGGCGGTTGTAGTAATTCATGACGACGACAGTATGTTTTGCAGCAGATCGATTGAAAAACTGAAGTGAGTTCCACGTCAGTGTTCTTTTAATCTTTCTCAAATATTGTATTTTGTTGCCACACGATAACGTCGAGAGCTCGACATAAAAACCCACCCATCCACCTAAAACGTCGATTCAATGTTTTCCGTGGCAACATGAATATGGACGTGGCCCCTAAATCGATCATCTTCTTTCAAAAACGCCTGTACTCTGCTTCTACGGTGATATAACATGACTAACCTGAAGCGATTATTTCCTTTAATTATCAGTCAATCCGAATGGGTCTAAACAAATTTTAGAGCCTTTCGTAGCTTCTGAGTTCCGTTCAAAGTACATAAATTGATATATTGACCTTTTACTTTTTACCAGTGAGCTGCTTTTGACATATGTTACCGGTTTTTGTCACAATCATGTTGCATGTCATACTATGTATGGCAGTGCTTCCACTTGCAAGAATTTTTCCCGAAGAAAGAAAATCTGCTTATTGCAGAAATCTGTTTATCTGCTGATTGAAATGTGCAAGGAAATAAAACCTACGAAGAAATGGCAGAGAAAAATGCTTTTAAATGCGGAAGATGCGTGGATATATGCGATTTTTTTGTTTTTATCACTTAAAATATCGACAAGTCGTTGCCCAACTTGTCTTACGTATTTACTTGTTGACTTTCGTGACTGCTTTTTTCGTGACATATACCTTGTGATATATAATAAAATGCTGGCTAATTAATTTCAATTCGATTTGTGCACGTGCTCTTATCTTTTTATAATACTGTAACGTGAAAACGTATTTTCAAATCCAAAACGTAAAAATAAGCAATTATTCCAATGTGTACTAATTCGACGCACCAAAAGGCGACGTATAAACTAAGCCTGAGATGTAATTCATGCGAGAAAAATGAAAAGATGGTCGGCAAATCTGAGTTTCTTAAATCCAACTGTCCGAGGAAACGCCATTCATCATTGGACTTTCAAGGACTTCTCTCGCTGCCATGCTGATTTCTTCCCAAACGAATCCCTTGCACACGTTATTCATTGGATTAGCTGGGTCCATTACCAACGGCCTGAAAATTGGAAATATTATATATGATGCAGTTTTTTGTAATGAAAGTGATTGATTGATCACACCATGTGCATTCGATTATAAATAGTTGTCCTTTGAATCCAAACTATCGCGTAATTCTATGAGAACAAAACAGACTACTGCTGCCGAACGGTTTCACCCGAAAATGCCAGAATTTTGCGACATTGAGAATTTTGATGCCGGTACCAAAGTTTGTATTCTATTTTGTCTAAGTCTGCCAAATCTATTTGTCCAAATACATCAGTCTTAAAGAACAATTGGGGGCAACTACCGTCTGCCTCATACAGTAATTCTGTACCGATCGCCTGTGATATACGTCTGGTAAAAACTGTTAACAATTAAAATAACATACTAAAAATAGAAAACTTTTCAGTTTGATTGCAAAAATGTTCTAGGGAAAATATAGTTTTTTGCATGTTTACTTTTTACGAAGTTGCTATATGATTGTTGCGTTTTCAAAATGTGATTGTTTGGTTTCAAAAAGACATATTTAATACTACAAAATTGTATCACGATTCGTTAAATCTCGATGACCGGGCTCGTGTGAACAGCCCCTTAATTAGAAAATACAGAAAATATTCGCACCGAAATTCGCAGCAGAAATCGCATGTGCGTATTCAGTAACGTAGTCAGCCCGACGATTTGTCCACTATGCTGATATTTTCGTGTTCATTGACCGTGAAAACAATAAACTTAAAAATATATGAATAATTATTATAACTCGAAATTCACATAACGGGACAAATTCCTCAGGCTGGCTACGCCTCTGTGCGTATTTAACTTTAAATTTTTACCGTGTGCATCGAACGTGGTGCGGTATGTCGTTTATCCGATAATTATCTGTCCAAATAACATTCAGAGATTGATATTCATCCAAAGTTTTCATGATTCCATGAAACGCTTTCAACGTATTAAACCTGCCATCTCCAGGCGTATTTTCCTCCCAAAGATGTATTATAATCAATTCCAAAAGGTATGAATTTGGGATCCGTCGACCAGACGAAAATTCCCGAACCATTTTCTTTTTCCAGTATTTGACAAGACGAATTAAACTTTTTACATTGGGTGGACGATATTCAACAAAGTCCACCTAGGAATTTTCAAGAGGTATTTCTTGAATCACTAGAGATGAAATGAGCAGAAACATAAATAGAACATCGGTATATGAAATATAGCGTACCTGCTTTTCAGCTAACGCCACGCTATAATACTCCCTGTTCTGCGTGTCAATTTTCATTTTCTGATACAGACTTTCCAGATCTAAGAATGTATGAAGCAAAATGGTTTGTTGTTTGTTTTGTTGGAGCGTACAATGGTGCTTATTTCTTGAGAATTTTGATAAATTATTATATTCATGATTCAATGTATGAGATAAAACTAGATTGAGTAGCATTACTATACTATTACTTTTTCTACCTCCAACTTTAAACGTGGGTAAGAGGTCAACATCAATTTTTACGTGTTTTCCCTGAACTGAAAATTTCACTAAGAATGTTTTGTCGGTTAGAGAGTTACGAATTATAGCGAGTTCTGCTCTATTTCGTTTCAACTTTCCTATAACGTCATTTATAATCATTGGTAGTTTTTCCTTCAGTTCTTCTGCATCTTTCACTTTATTCAAAACCAAGACAAGATCAATATCACATTTCCCTTTGACAGCCGTTCCTTTCCCTAACGATCCTCCCTAGATAATGCAATAAATCACATTTTTTTTCACCCAATCTGAATCGAGAATGCGTTGAAATGTCATGAAACAGCTTCTTTATGAAGCCCAGTTTCCTTTTAATCGTAATGGTCGTGAATGAGTCATTTTCAGCGATGAGAAATAGCTCGGATGTGAATTTAAATTTTCTTTAATATATCCTTAATATTTTGATGATCTTTTTCTTTCCGCAATTTGAGACTTTTTTAGTCTAACTCATAAATAAAAAAATTTCGCTTCCCGAAAACGTGCGGTCGTGTTCATTCCTTTATATACACATTACATATTTATCAGGTCCGCATTTTGTGCGTGTTCAACCGCGCCCTGGAGCATAACGTGTCCTATGTTTGTCATATTACCCTAGTCGATTGAAGAAAATTCCAATTTTAGTTCGCAGTAGATTAAACTTGGTTTGTATTTGTTCGGTGGTCATTTGTGAAGTGGAATACCTTGACAGTTTTAGCAGGCCCCATTTCTTGGTGTAGGAACCTGCATATTTTGTCAATTGCTCTTCCCATTTCTGCGTTAAATTCATCGGTAGGTTGTAAGTTGTCTGCAATGAATCTGTTAAGATCTTTGACTTTCACGGGGCTGCAAAAATCTACGGCATCTAAAAATAAAGACCTTTTCTTAAATAAATGCAATTTTTAAGTAACTTAAGCCATTGGTTGGGTATTTTCCATTCAGCTACATTTCTTATTATTTCCTCAGCTCCACGTGCTAACGTCGGTATTATTTCGACAGATTTCTATCAAACGTCTTCTATCACGTTGTTTTCCAGGCCTAAGAACCGTTTTACAAGAAATGCAGTAAGAGAGAGGAAAATATATGGATGAAATGGGCTAGTTGGTCAAACAAACAAACTTGTGTGTGTTACGATGGAAGTGTACATGCGGTTACGATCGAATACAACAGATAATCAGCAATAATGTAATTTTACTATACTGCAAGTACATGGCGACAGGGATGGCGTCAAAGTGACGATAGAATGCGCATGCGTTTTGCCCCCGGGAACGAAACTGCGATATTTTGCTGAGAGATGTAGAGCAAATTTGCGTTAACAAATTTTATCATTACCTGCATTTTAGTGCCTTTGGTATTGTATGAATCATCTTACATACAGCTTAAATGAAGTATTCCGGGACAGGGTAGCCAGGAAACTGCCGGTGAAATTAGCCAAATATTTTTAGCATGCATAACCTTTGTTTTCTATTTTCGAAAGGGCTAACTACAACAATATTTGGCTTCTTTATTCAGTAATCCGGCAACCGAGTTTAAGGACCGTGTTTTTCCTAACGAGAATATGTTTCGAACAAATGTTGCTATTCTGTTTCACAGGCTGTTGTTGGTCCAACTAGCCTACAACGTCTTAAGTGAATGTAATGGAAAGACGATAATTATTAATGATGCCTTTTCGACAAACAACAAATAATTAAATCATCGAGAAACTTATTTTTGAAAAATATTTCTGAACATAGGAGAGGAATCATAGAACAGATAGATTTAAAAACGTCCGGTAAAAGGTTAAGCATCCTCCCTGGCACAACCTCTCAGGATTTTTGCCCCCGTGTGTTTGTTCGAAACATATTTACAAAATACTGCAGTAATCTGGAGTTCCATTATTGTTACCTGTATTCCGTTCACTTAGTTCTTGGACTAGTTTTACACCTCCATAAACTGCCAAACCGCCTACCACAAGTGCTCCAGCGAATCCAACTAGTCCTCCAACTAATAAGCCGCCGACGTCCAAAGTAGTACGTGAATTATTACCATTCGCGGACCCTGTTTTAAAGAGGTCAGTGTCAGTCTAAAACATTGGCTTACAGCGTGAGATAGGAAGTAATTTGCTGTACCGGGAGAGGCCTAAATTTGCAACTGATGACAACTGATTGGGTGAACGAACTAGGTAGAATAAAAAAGTTTCTGGATTCTGAAAATAAGCCTTATATTCTGAATATAGTCCTTATACCGGAATTGGTTAACATGTTTTACCAACACACACACCATGCAACGCTCAGGCTAACAGAACAAATACATCACCAGTCTTACAAGGACGAATAGTTCACTTGTAGTTGTTTTCACTGCCTCTTTGGGGCATTGGAATGGCAATAGAAAGAACTTTTGGAAACTATGACATTAGTATTTTTACCCCAGTCCATACTATAGTGACCATGTTGGAAAAATTTCCCCCTATACGTATGTTCAAGGGTTTGTTTGTTTACATACATGGAAAGGCCGAAGGGTTTGGTTGTTTACTTACATCGGGAAACTGCACTAGCGGAGGCAGTTTCCTCTCTCTCGTTCCCTGTACAATTTGCTTGATGCAAGTCCCTAATCAAGCGATTGGTAAATGACTTGCGGCACACACCACAGGAGAATTCCATTTTGTTGATTGCGATAATTGAAGGATGTCTTTAGTCACACTAAAGTCCAGTTTGAGAGCAACGCACAGCTTCACACAGCAAGTCTGCAAGAATTGAATAAAAACATTTAGAGAATAGCTACGCTTCACTCGGCCAATCAGCGTCCTGTATTTTCATGCTCTATATCTCATAGGGTCTGAAATTCATGACAATTCTATCGAATTATGAGTGATTTATTGAATTCATTATCAACTCTATAATAGAGTCACTAATGAATTCAATCCCTTGTGAAGTTCTAATGAAGTTAAGGCTTATCTATTTCTCGGGACTCTATATTCCATATAGGGCTCGCGTGATCATGCTCTAACACTTAGAATAAACGGAAAATTAAACAGGCAAAAGAACAATGTTCATAAGTAAAGAAAGTTAATGGCAAAGAAATTCGATGCGAACAAAATGCGACGTGTAACCTGGGCCTTTGCATATGTGGACCACGTGCAGTGACCAACAAGTTATTTGCCAGTAAACAACGCGCGCGCGCTTATCAGATGCAACGATCTTACGATCGTGACGTCATTAAACACTCAACCTGATTCTGCACTAAATAGAAATCGTGCATCTTATATAGTCATGTTAATATGGATTTTTCCCCAACGAATATTGTACAACTTGTTAAAAATTCTCCGATATATAATGCTTGCGACATATATTAGTTATCACCAGAAACATGAACGAAATGTATAGCTTCAAAATTCTCGTAAATATGGACTCGTATAATAGACGGGTTATTTTTGTTTACATTATTTGCGCTGACATTTGATATTGAACAATCTAATTATGCGAGCAAATGTTTTGTACATGCGAGTACATGTTGTAAAATAACCGATGAATGTCGGAGTTTTGAACAAATAATGTTCAAGCAAAGTATTGTTAAAATACATAAACAAAGTTTACCCATGGATAGACCACTTTCTAGTAGTGTAGTAGTGTGGTCTTACTTTCATGACCTTTGCGCCATGGCTTTAGCAAGGCCGCTAAATCTGGCCTCAATATAATTATCCTCAATACTTGCAAGTCTACTTCACATTCAAACGCGCAGGACAAGCTCATTTTTGAGGGATGAGCATATAGGGTGCGTGTACGATGGTTAATTGATTATTGTGGGTACCGACACGAGTCTTAAATATCACTTGAATATAAATTTTTAAGTGATATTTAAGATATTGTACTGTTTACATTAGATTTAAGTGTGCAATAGAATATACATTGTTTCAACAAAAAATTCAACATTTACCTCTTAAACTTTGCCTATCCTCTTATAATTTTACATCTATTCTGTTTGCCACTACGATATTAAGCGTTGTAGTAGCCGCCTGGCAAATTTCAAGCAATGAGACTTCTTGTATATTTCAATTCTGTGATATCCATCCGGTATGTCGCGATGAATGATGCGAATTCGGTATCATGTGACGGTGTCCAAAACAGTCATCATTTCTGGCATTGTGCCTCTATCTTTCAACATCGTGACTCGTGACTTACTTAGATAGATAGATAGATAGATAAAACCTTTATTTTGATAGGGTAGTCTCATCAGACCACAACTGGTCTGTTATCAACGAGAGCCCTATATAAACTACAATAATTTCTCTAATGTGAAAAACTACGCTACATGCAACTATTAACTATGATATAAATGTAATATGGTAAGTTAAAATCCCAAAAATTGAAAGTATCTAGCAACTGTCACATAAACGATTAAAAACCTTTGCTCCATTATAGTAAAACGATTTCTTCGCCATTTCTGTTCGAACTCTTGGCAAATGCAATAAGTTACTTTGGCGGGTGGTTCTTACTGTCAATTGACGATTAAAACTAAAATAGTCACATAAAAATTGAGGAACAATTCCCCTCACACATTTCTTAACTAATTTAAAAATATGCTGTTCTCTCCTGCTTTTCAGAGTTTCCCAACGCAGATCGTGCAGAGCATCATCACTATAGCCCACTTTCATTACTACCCTTGCTGCTCTACGTTGTATTTTCTCCAGCTTTTCCTCATCCCCGATATTGCAACAATTCCAGACCGTATCACAATAGTCTAATATTGGTAGAACATAGGATTTGTAAACGATGTTGGCAGCATGTGTCGAAATATCATTCCGCAATCTCCTTAACATTCCAACTCTCGCGGATGCTTTCATCAGAGTATGATATACATGGTCTTTCCAGGACAAAGAGTCGTCCATAACAACTCCAAGATACTTGTATTTAAACACCTGCTTAATCCTTTGACCGTTTATATAAATCTCAAAGTTTTCTATCGTATGCAGCCGTTTTGTAGAGCCGAAAAGAACACATTCTGTTTTGTTTATCTTCACATCAGTCATTCTCCCTGGTTTCAACAAATTTCAGAGCCCTGGAGAGTGAAAGTATTCCTTTTTATTTTTTTCTTGCTGTCTGAATTCATATTTTAGCGTGTCCTGCAATCTGATTGGCTACGCGAGCGGTCCGTGAGGACGTACGGACGCGCGAGATTTAAAAGCACAGATATATATATATATATATATATATATATATATATATTAATATATATATATATATACACCCATTTGCAAAAACGTTGGCCGCAGATAGATAGATAGATAGATACTCGAAGTCTAATTAGAATTGCATATGATTACATTTGCATGGGATTTCAATCATATTACACAACATATGCAATTCTAATTAGATTTCGAGTATCTATCTATATATCTATCTGCGGCCAACGTTTTTGCAAATGGGTGTACATATATATATATATATATATATATATATATATATATATATATATATATATATATATATATATATATATATATATATAATATATACGCGAGCATTTAACTTTTAATAGTTAATAAAGCGAACGTAAGTTCAGTTCGTGACGTCTAGAATATGTAGTGTGACGCAAATGCAAGTTTTCTGACGCACACAAGCATTGTCAACAAAACTTCGATGTTCAATTAAGTGTAATAGATTGTACTTTTTTTTAAACAGCAATTTATAACATAGCTATTACCATTGGCCCTATGCATATGGTACCCTTTCATTGAATATGTAAAGAACCTCTTTTTGATTGCTGCATGTTGGAACAACCGCTTGACGCAGAGGGAGAAGTAGGTTAAATAATAAGATGCTCTTGCTGTTTTGTTATAAGTAATAAGAGCTGTTTCGTTGAATTGTTTCGTTGTTCTGGTTCTAATTATGAAACACTCTACATGTATGTTAATAGTAGAGTTGTGGCGCTGTAAAATACTTTTCGAATATTTAACAGCATTTTATTTGCGATAGTGCATGCCACCATGATTTCTAACCGTGCAACCGTGCTTGACCACACTAGGAATTGAAGCCGTGACCTTTGGCTTGCTATTCTCCAGCGCTTTTTCAGGTATACCTTGACATCATTTTGTGTTCCGTTCCAACCGTAGAATTTTCGTTTCGTGCATGTATACATCTGAAAAAGACAGCGTCAAAAAGCCAATATCGTATATGTAGGCTATCCCGGCTGGAGGGAGCTGGGACTTTTGATTTAGTGAAGAAAACAGGTCAATTTATGAGTTGTATCCTGAACATTTGGCCAGGATTGTAGCATGTAAGGTTGGAGGTGTCGAATAAAACTTTTGCGAAGAGACAAGGTATATGAAGGCCTAAAATAAAAATTATTATCATACAGACAGACAGCAATTTTATCACGAAATTTCTTGTGATGATCCACCACAGACTGATATCTATTTAATTTTTCAGTGAACTAACGCTTTTAAGAAAGGAAAACTCGAAATGAACACGTACACAATTTCAGCATGGCTGTGTATAATTTATAATTAACAAGACGCCTACTAGGCGTTATATGATCGCGTCGTTCACAGCGGCGTAGCCAGTCCAGCTATGCAAATTTTGTGTCGTAAATGTTCTTAATAATAAAAATGAACAATATACCGAACTATAGTCGCATGTTGAAAGCAGGAGAAACACAAAACAGCCCATTTCGAAACTGCTTGAAATCCTTTAGTGCAGGCTTACTCTGCTCGGCGTGTGCAGTTAGTTGTATGTGTAATGAGTGTAAAGATAAAGATAACACTTGCTAGCATTTTGATCGCTTTATTGATTCTACTTTACTGCTTCGAAGTTCGAAGGTGAAACGAAATATGCCCAAAGTGAATACAACACGTGATATAACTAGCAACTTACCTGTGCGCAGGTTCTCGATTAGGGTGATATGGCCCGCAGCTAGCAACGCTGGGGGTCGACCCGAGAGGAAAATAAAACAAGACGCCTACTAGGCGTTATATGATCGCGTCGTTCACAGCGGCGTAGCCAGCCCAGCTATGCAAATTTTGTGTCGTAAATGTTCTTAAATAATAAAAATGAACAATATACCGAACTATAGTCGCATGTTGAAAGCAAGAGAAACACACAACAGCCCATTTCGAAACTGCTTGAAATCCTTTAGTGCAGGCTTACTCTGCTCGGCGTGTGCAGTTAGTTGTATGTGTAATGAGTGTAAAGATAAAGATAGCACTTGCTAGCATTTTGATCGCTTTATTGATTCTACTTTACTGCTTCGAAATTCGAAGGTGAAACGAAATATGCCCAAAGTGAATACAACACGTGATATAACTAGCAACTTACCTGTGCGCAGGTTCCCGATTAGGGTGATATGGCCCGCAGCTAGCGACGCTGGGGGTCGACCCGAGAGGAAAAAAATAATAAAAAAAAAAAACCAAGCCGAAACTATAGATCGCTGTCGCTACGCGACGCGATCAAAAAAACAAGACGCCTACTAGGCGTTATATGATCGCGTCGTTCACAGCGGCGTAGCCAGCCCAGCTATGCAAATTTTGTGTTGTAAATGTTCTTAATAATAAAAATGAACAGTATACCGAACTATAGTCGCATGTTGAAAGCAGGAGAAACACAAAACAGCCCATTTCGAAACTGCTTGAAATCCTTTAGTACAGGCTTACAGTGCTCGGCGTGTGCAGTTAGTTGTATGTGTAATGAGTGTAAAGATAAAGATAACACTTGCTAGCATTTTGATCGCTTTATTGATTCTACTTTACTGCTTCGAAGTTCGAAGGTGAAACGAAATATGCCCAAAGTGAATACAACACGTGATATAACTAGCAACTTACCTGTGCGCAGGTTCCCGATTAGGGTGATATGGCCTGCAGCTAGCGACGCTGGGGGTCGACCCGTGAGGAAAATAAAACAAGACGCCTACTAGGCGTTATATGATCGCGTCGTTCACAGCGGCGTAGCTAGCCCAGCTATGCAAATTTTGTGTCGTAAATGTTCTTAATAATAAAAATGAACAATATACCGAACTATAGTCGCATGTTGAAAGCAGGAGAAACACAAAACAGCCCATTTCGAAACTGCTTGAAATCCTTTAGTGCAGGCTTACTCTGCTCGGCGTGTGCAGTTAGTTGTATGTGTAATGAGTGTAAAGATAAAGATAACACTTGCTAGCATTTTGATCGCTTTATTGATTCTACTTTACTGCTTCGAAGTTCGAAGGTGAAACGAAATATGCCCAAAGTGAATACAACACGTGATATAACTAGCAACTTACCTGTGCGCAGGTTCCCGATTAGGGTGATATGGCCCGCAGCTAGCGACGCTGGGGGTCGACCCGAGAGGAAAATAAAAAAAAAAAAAAAAACCAAGCCGAAACTATAGATCGCTGTCGCTACGCGACGCGATCAAAAACCAAGCCGAAACTATAGATCGCTGTCGCTACGCGACGCGATCAATTATCATCGTTGAAGTACAAATATTTTTCACTAGTGTCGCGTTACACTTCGGTACAAAATGTAGCAAAAGGCGAAAATATTGTGCATAAATGTATTTATGTTAAAGTGTTTGTCACCAGTGTGTATGGGTCGAACAAGCGCCAAGTCTATCCTTCGAAAGCACCTTCGTGATACACGACGTTATACAATTATTTGTGGGTTAGCAGTGATCAACCTGAAATCTTTCGACAACCATGTCAGGGGCGCCGGAATATCGATAATAACGGTGGCAGATATTCATAATTCTTGTTCGCAGATCGTAAAAACAATCGATTTCAAAAGGAGTTAATAATGCAGAACACGAATATATGAATATCTGCTTCCGTTATTATCGATATTCCGGCGCCCCTGAACCATGTAGCACAGGTGTGTGAGCCATTCATACGAAATTGCACCATATTAATTTTGCAACTATAAACACAGAGCTAACACATATAGAGTAAAGAACTGCTGACTCATTCCGATTACTGATCATGAGCCTCAGTTGAAACATAAAGATTGATTAGATACAGTTTGAAGCAATAGTGCACGTAAACCGTTGTGCAGACCTATCAACAGTGAAACAGTGAAAATTATTAAAACAGCAACATATAGAATCTTAAGATTAGGAACCCTTAAGAATTTAACTTATACATCAATTCGTGCGTGAAAACTGATACCAAAATGATGAATGTAGGCTAGGTTGCTACTTCCAACTAGTTGAAGAAACACCATCCAACATAGGACTTCGCCGGACTTCTCTCGCTGCTCTTCCTAATCTTTCCAAATCAAATGCTGTGCACACGTTGTTCATTGGATTAGCTGGATCCATTACCAACGGTCTGAAATTTGAAAATGCCGCAATTCAATTTTCTTAACCAGAAATGAACTATAATAATGCTCCTAAATCTAAATGGCTGCCGTTAAATGCAAAACTTCATATTTGTGGAAGAGGTTATTAACTTTATTAGTTTATTACGTGAAAGTGTCATTTTAGTTGAAATGGAGTCCCGTGATTAGCTAAGGCTTGCCGTTTCCACTTACGCCCGGAAAATTGACACATGGGTCAACAAATGCATATTAGTTCTTTCGATTTATTCACCTTTAGACTTTTATGTGCGTGTACGAGCGTTAGTAAGGGAAAGCAGTTCTAAGACGTATTTCCATCGGTCCATTTCGAAAAAGAAGATGAAAAACTGAGGAATGAAAAACGAGAAATGACATTGGTCGATATTCTTCGGTCAATAACGAGCAAGCGAGGGTAATAAAAAGTTATGATAATTTTATATCCTCTCTATAATTAATAGGCTCCCGAATAATAGGGACAAGCGTATTAGAAACAAAGAGGCTTCATTGGAGACGATCTAAATGATCTTCTATAAATTTAATATAGATTATAATTCTTTACCCTGGGCGGCTTTTAACTTCGTGTGGTATTTCGCTGGCAGAGTAATTTGTCGTCCAAATGACATTCAGAGAATGATATTCCTCCAATGCTTTCATGACTCCATGAAAGGCCTTCAACGTATCAAATGTGCCATTACCATATCTGGTGTTTTCTTCCCAAAGATGAATTGTAATTAGTTCCATGAGATACGATCCACCGGACATAGACGTGACCTTTTCTTTTTTCCAGTATTTGACCAAGCGAATTAAATTTTTCACATTGGCTGGTTGCCTTCCAACAAAGGCTACCTAGGATTTCCCAAAAAGAACAATTTTATTTTTTGTTTAGTGTATAGAAATGACACGACCTGGCACAAATCTAAATGCAATTTTAACTTGAAATCAAAGACAAAGATGAATAATTACTCGTCGTGTTTGTCACTGTGCAGTATAGAGAAGTTCAAATGCACAATAGCCATGCATCATCAGAGTATATTTTATCTTACAATAGGTATAGTGTACCTTTCGCTGAGCCAACGCCACACTATAATATTCACTGTGTCTCTGGTCAGTTCTCATTTTTCTGTAAAGACTTTGCAGATCTGATATCAAGCAAAAAAGTTTGTTTGAACAAATAGCTAGCGACATGACAAGTTTATAATTGAATAAAAACCAAGCGGATATCTACAGGGGTTGCGTTACACACAGATGTAATTTTGATGGAAATATTTTAATGATTTCAGCTTCCGTGAATTTATGTATATATTACATATATAATTTCAGTTTTTATTAATATTGATGTACTCTAGGTGGATCCCATAGCAATTTACATTTAATGAAATTCACGGCAAGACTAGCCATTAAAGCATTTTCCATTATACACTGTACCTTCATACTTAAACGTGGGCAACAGATCAACATCTATATTTCCATGTGTGCCTTTGACTGAAAACTTCACTAAGAAGGACGAGTCTTTTAAGGAACCGGGGACGATTGTGAAACCTCCTGAATATATTGTCAACATAGTTTTGATCTTGACTCGAATCTCTGGTAGTTTCCTTTTGAGATCTTCGGCACCTTCTACTCCGTTCAACACCAAAACAAGATCAATGTCGCACCTTCCTCTGACGGCCGTACCTTTGCCCAATGACCCACCCTAGATAACGAAATTTTATTTTTATTTTTTCGTGGGAACGAGATGTTTTGCAGGTTTTTCTTAGCAAGCTATGCATAAAATCCCCCCAAAATGATCAAAGAGACATGGATTTTGATTTTTATAATAAAATTTCTAGTTTGCATCCACTTTTGAACGATGCTCTGAATAATAATTTTGAAATTATTTTTATGACTGCACTCGACTACCTTTACAATTTGATCAGGTTCCATATGTCTCCGCAAGAACTCGCATATCTTTCCGACGGTTTCCTGCATTTCTCGGTTGAATTCTTCGGTTGGTTGCAATTCTTCTGCGATAAAGCTGTTGAGATCTGTGGCTGTTACACGGCTGCGAAAATCTACGGAAACTAAAAAGACAACAAATAATTTTATGGAGCAAAAGTTGGAAGTTTGCATCAATGGAAAATGAACAGATACCAGAATATATATAGGATATTAATTTTTTATCCAATTGTACGTGCGTATAAAATGCCAAAGTATAGGTCCTCTAGTAACATCGATTTGTCAATAAATAGGATATTAACATAATTACTTTACCTGTGTTTCTTCCTGTTGCAACAGCTTGGCTTTCCTCGCGTACACCGACGCCCAGTCTCGCGAAGAAGGAGTTGAAGTTCCAGTTGGCGAGTGAACTGTAGCCGTTTGCAGAAACTGACAGTGATTTAAAAAAAATTCAAAATTGGAGGCATATTGTCATCTGGTAAAAAATATCTAAAACATTTTCTCATGGACATCGAGGAGGCTTCGAAAATTCGATTTGCACAAAATTAATTAAACATTAGTGCACGGCAGAGAGTATAAAAACAATGACGTATTAATATATGACAAATATCTCGCAATATCACGCAATTAAACACTTGCCAGATGGACATCTGTTCATAGTTTTATGTATGGCTAGGCCGCTAGGGTCACCTATACCCTGTGGTGTCGTCACCTTTTTGAATTCCAAATAAAAAACTGATTGGCTCTCGCGTAGTTTTTTATATGCAATTCAAAATTGGCGACAAGGCCACAGGGAAGGTGACCTAGTGGTGGCATAGTTTTGACAAAATTTCGCCAAAATCTCGAAAAAAATTTGCTTTTTTAGCTTCCTTAAAATTAACGTTTGCTTGAAGTATATTTGTAATTTGCAAGATATTCGGGCCTTAGGAAACGTTGTAGTATATTTTAATAAAAAAACTTGCCAACCTTGTCATAATAATTGACCGCGAGCGCCAAGAGAACGAAAACTTTTCTGGGCTGGCTTTGCAATTACCTGGAATTGATGAATACGTGGGTGTAGATTGTGTGTTCTTTCTTCGATTTCTAGGCCTGCTTCTTTTTTTCTGAGTTGTACAGTTGCCGTAGTATGTATCTCTTTTATGCTGTTCTACGGCATGATCACTGTCGAATAACTTGTCGCACAAATCACATGAAACCGACATCCTCCTAAGGAACAAACATGGAGATAAGTATGGGATAAATTTACGTGAAAATTTTCGCCGTAAGAAAAAAGAAAAAAGAAAAGAAAGAAAATAGAAAGAAAGGGGGAGGATTCGGAGTGTTTCCACGTCTTATTTGCATATGGCTATCTTGATTGGTAGAGAGAGACAAGGAAGTTTAAAAAGAATGCATATTATATCATATTATCACTGATCCCTTCCTCGTGGTTGCCATTTGAAGAAAACCTCCTTAGATTGCGGAAACCCTGCAACAAATGCCCTCTTCGTATTCTAGAAATACACAAATTTACTTGAGCCAGGCATGTGCCTAAAAGTGAAAATAAAACCACCGGGCAAGGAGAAGAAAAAAAAATCACTCATTCTGCGGTTTAGATGATTATATTTCATCATCCACGTTGTATGATAAAAAAACATGTTAAGAAAAAAAGCGTAAAAGGCATGTCGTATATAAAAGACAACACAAGTCGCTGCAAGGCAACCATAACTTGACCATCGCCTGTTTTCTATAAAAGCTCACTCACGCTCAAACTCATTGAGGGGAAGATCTCAGTCATTTTATAGCGATTTCCTTGCTGTTTTTCCACTCCAATAAGAGCTTGATTTCAATGTTTTATTGAGAATTTGAATATGGATTTCTAGAGGAGGTAGAGGCGTAGAGCAAAAAGTTTTTGTTCAGTTGACAAATACGACTATACACTGGCGTCAGGTGTCTTCCGGAAAGTGGAATATCGCGAATACAGAATGTTGTAGAAAGAATCGAAGCACTCTGAGGAATCGATTAGACGAAAAAATGGAATCTAAGTGTCTGGTTAGTTCAGCTAAATGAAATGTCAAACATGTCTAAACTCATTTGCATAAAATTTAAAAACAAAACCACATACCATGCAGGATCCATTTATGGAAAAGCATTTTTAATTTTCATCCAATTATATAGGCATACACGGCTGCTAGCCTGCTACTACGTACCACAGTATATGGCAGGTGTTATTTACATTTTCATTTTATTATATTTGGCATCAAAAACTTACTTATAGTTGTAGTATATCTAATAATTCAATTTCAATAAAAACAAAAGGCTCTGGAGTGTAGACTGATGAAATATACGTACATATTACTGCTGCAATGCTAAACTTTTGCGAAGACACACTGTCACTGCCACTGACACTATCACTGATGAACAAGGTTGAGTCACTGGTTCAGGATATTGGTGGACAAACTTGTCAATTGTTATTGCATTATTCCCTCTACTAGTTTTTCTCCGAACTTGGCGAACGTCGTATTTTTGTCCAACATTACCAAACATTACCTTTTAACTTTATATAAATGAGTGAACAACTTTGCTGGGTCAGCACTTTGCCGCAAGACCCACTTCCGTAATTTCTTCGTACATAATTTTGGTAAGGGCCTATTCCGAATTAAACTGCCATTCTGCCAAAGAAGCTTATTCTGCGTTCATTTAATCAATTGTATGATATCTCAATATATGAAAATAGTGTCAACCTTAGAAGCAACACGAGTCGACATTAAATATCAACAATACAAAAAACGCGTTTCTTATTCAAGTGACCTAAAACAACATTGTCTTTGATATTAAACAACGAAGTTCTCGCCTAAACTCTAAAGCAATGTAACACTGATAGAGCATATATTTAAGGACTTACGTACCCGAATATAGATTTCTCCTTCCTATAGTTTGTAAGATATGTCAATCCTTTTCGTCTTGACAAATTGCAAAGCCTCTCAAGTTTCGACACAGTCGAATTATCCGTGTTATCGTAATATACTTTCGATTTTCTGTATAATATGTGATCATGTTATAATGGGATTTCCCCAAGGGAATTTCCCTTATCGAATATTGTAGAATAAGCACCTGTTGGAAACTGCCTTTTATGAAACCTAACGACCATGAAGAATGTATTAATAATTCATGTATCCATGGTGATGGCTTGATATGGGTTTTCGCCGGATATAAACAAAACAAACTATCTTAAATATCATATCGCTTCAAACTACATCACATTTGAAGAATGCAGAACAAACTCCCCGTAATAACGACAAACCCAGAAATCTATAGACATCCGAGACATTTGCCAGGGTAAGTTTAACTAGTCTAACTACCGTGGTTTATAACAACGTACATACTTGCAGACCAGTAAGGGGGCAATAATTGAACGAATACGTTTCGAGCGGCTCCCCATTACCGCATTATAGTAGCTTTAGGACTAATATTGGGAAATTTTTGGTCCTATATATCGATGTCAGTGACAGTGTTTACACTATAATATAGACTATATGCATAGCCTGCATAGTATAGGCCCAAATTTACCATAGCTTTGAACAAGATCTTAGGTTTATTGCATAGGACAATGAGAGGCCATCGTGCGGTTATTCTACGCTAAGAATTTATGCCAGGCATAAGGCAGGCTTATAATAGCTTCGCTTCTCAGAGGAGATTGTTTGGAGGGTCGGTTTCTCGCAACCAGATTTCGAATCAAATAGGCTGGCTTTGAGTTGAAATAGCCTTTACGTTGAGCCGGTGGGCTGCATGTTTACATAATCCCGAAAAGCCAAGATAAAGCAAAGCAAGACTCGGCTACCACAGCTAGCCTAAGTAATAACCTCGTACTCAGGGCATTTACTTCGACACCACTGCCAACGCTGCAACATTTTGATCAAGATGTGTCTTGTGTGATCTATGATACCTTGTACATTATATTCAGTTACACTGGTCACGTCCATCAGGAAAACTTTCAATATGGCGAAACGTACGGCAACACCTCACTCCTCAGCCAGATTGCTTTCAGAATATCGCGCCACTAAACTCCAGGACAGTACTCTGGGTATGAACGGAAGGGGAGGTGACGCCCAGCTACCATTTCCGACATATTACGATCACGACCCGAGTCGCGTGATGGGAACACGCCCAAGAACCTGGGAACGATGGCAGCCGCCACATAATTTTGATCTCCTGAATACTAGCTCACGCGAGCGAGAAATCAGAGACTTTAATAAGGTACGTTAATGTGTTTTTTTCTGAAAACAGAACTAGGCGTAATTTGTATGTCTGTCGGAACCGCAAACATAAATTGGAGTTTTTAATACTTCCTTTTGGCCTTTTTGCTATCTACACTGGACCACTAGTTTAATTTTTTTTAAGAGGATAAGGGCCTGTTTACATGGAGCGAGTTATCCCGGCTGGGCGAGGTAAAAAGCGGCTTAACTTGATTAGTCTTTCATTATATGCAGCTTTTACCTCGCCTAGCCGGGATAACTCGCTCCATGTCAGTAAACATGCCCTATGATACAAACCGCTACAACAGTTCATTATGGAATACAACTCTACTTATATTTTAGCAACATTTTTCATCTGATATTCTTTGATCTTTGTAGAGTGGGATAAAAACAACGAAAGCTTATTGTAAAATACTTCTAACACATGATAGTTTAGCTTTAATTTTACACGTTTCTCCAATCATTGGAATTTGTTTAGATGTAAATATTTCGTGTGATTTTTAGGCCGCTCAACAACATCGCGAGCAATACAAGGATCACAGTGGAAGTCGTGTTCCCGTTGATATTTTCGTTCAACCCAACATTTCATACCCAACTAGTGCTCCAGTTGGACAAAGGCATAGATATTCGACATGAATGAAATATTTCTACTCTTAGGCTCTAATGTTTCCAAGATAACATGCATGTTATTTATCTGTAAAGGTGGACCAAATCTTGATATTTTGATGCATATATTGCATACTGTACACTCTAGACCCTAGAAGTGTAACGAGATAAACATCTCAAAGTGCTTGGAGCGATGTCGTTATGTCTGACGTCTGAGATATTCATCTAAGATTATTTCATTGTTTTTGTTGACTTTCGATGTAAAATTTCGAGAAAAAGTGTCTTGATATATACGAACAATCCAAAATATAAACAATAGACCTACAATGTTATTACCAGCGATGGAAACATATGTGATATCATATTCATTGTGGTTACATGACGTTCCTCTCTAACAATGCAGCAATGGCGGTCAATTCAAAAATGGTGATATTATTATTATTTAATAAAAGAAAGATGATACGCGAGCTCTCTGATCGTATGATCGTCCTGTGAGTATTAATTCTAAGTTGACATAATTATAGGTGTTGTGTTTCAAGTAAAGAGTTCACATAAACATGTTTACCTGAATTCAAAATTATGTATTTTGGCAGGAGATCGATAGCCTATAAATCGGATTTATTTTTTTTTATGGCAACGCCTTAGTAAGATAAGCATGTTTATCTCAAATATTTTGCATTTTTGCGACCACACTCGCAATATTTGGCGAGTCAAAGGCTAGACTTGCGACTTTGATCAGCAGTTACAAATCATGAAATCAACATGGCAGATTCAAATTGATGACGATGTGTTAGTTCCCAAATTTTTAACTATAAGCTTAGCCATTCACGTCGGCAACGTGATGTAAAATCACAGGGCTTTCTAGGGGAGGGATATTTGTGAAGGAGGTGATGATATGGTACGCGTAACGTAGCTTTAAGATAAATTTTTAGTATATGAATTATATATGATATTTGGAAATTTACGTAGAACTAGATGTTTGCCTCAGAACCCCAAATTTCTTTGAAAATCTCTTCGAAAAAAGTGTACACGAGATGAGAAGGGGTTACATTTTCAAGTGTAATTTTAAAAAGTTGGCTTGCTTTGCTTTCGACAAACTATATGCTGTGCAGCATGGAGGCTAAATCATTGTCAACTTTAGCTCCTTCAAGAAACTCCTCCAAAGATAGCTTTCCATCAGCGTTCTTGTCCACGCGTTCAAATATATCGTTCGCCATATCCGCCGCACAATGCTCGTCATTCTCGCTGCCAGATAACTTCTCGATTGCTGTCAGTATATCCAGTAATTCATCTCTGTTGCAAGAGAAATAAAGTCAGTGGTGGATTTAGAAGAGTTATCCAAGGGAGAGAGTGCCCCCCCCCCCCACACGCGAAGGAGGTGTGCTTGTGCGTTCAATGGCACGAAAATGGGCAAATTTTGCGACGTCAAAATGAAATTTGCTTTGTTATAATACACAATATAATCGGCCTTCCTCTAAATTTACAATAGGCAGGTTGAATTTGATTTTTTTAGCCTGGGTTGCCCTCCGTTTGTCCATGAGTACTACAGGGGTGCAGACCTCTGTAAAGGCGGATTTCCACTTACAGCGAAATCGTTCGCTAGCGAAATATTTGCATATTTTCTTTTAAATTTTAACAGCATAAATAAATTAGTGCGACTTGACTGTTCTCAATTCCAAAGAAAATATGCAAATATTTCGCTAGCGAACGATTTCGCTGTAAGTGGAAATCCGCCTTAAGACCCCCTTCCATAAAAGTCCACCACGAAGTAAACATTACTCCATTAATCATATAAAAGAATAGAAGAGAGTCTGTAATTGTAATTTGTTTGTAAACACAATAAATGTATGATTGCGCGGATGTGTCTACACGCAGCCTTGCCATAAATATAACCATTTTTACAATCAGACAGCTAAGATCTAAATCACAATGAATACTGCGTGATCTTTGATCCATATAGTTCAAAGATGTGTTTGAAACGGATGTGTAATGCTATCACATGGATATGATATCCATAATACCACCTAATATGGGATCATTTTCAACCAAAGCCAACGGTTATGCGATTAAAGTGTAACGGCCGGGGTAAAAACCATTCAACTTTTAATTCTATTAAATATCTAGCGTTATCAAGCAATAACAAAGCCAGATTCGTCGTACCTCGTTATATAACCATTTCCATCAATATCGTACATATTAAATGCCCATTTCAATCTGTCATCCATATTGCCCCTCTTCATGACAGACATGGAGACGATTAACTCTCGAAAGTCCAATATTCCGTCTCCATTCTCGTCGAAGACGCGAAACGTGTGTTGTGCGAACTCTGATGGGTCTCCATCCGGAAAAAATTTTGAGTAAAGTTGTTTGAAATCGTCCACCGTCATCGCTCCGGTCTTACTGTTCTTTTTAAATTCTTTGTAATAAGCTTTGATTTCTTGCTGGCTAAAAGTCGTCGTTCTCGCCAGCTCGTTGAGATCTCGTGGTTTCAGCTTGCTTTGCTCTTTTCCCATCCCTATAAAAGCAATAATTAAAAGAGATACGTCAAACGTAGATTCTCTACATAACAAAGAGCTCGAGCTTTGTGTTTATATAGCCGCAAACGGCAAAATTCATTTCGAATTTTCAATTATGATTAAACACTATTGACAAAAATTATCGACATGATAATGCAAAAAATCTACCTCAAATCTATAACTCGACCTTGGCCGTTTGCAGTTTGCTGTATTGTTTAAAGTAAAATTCTCAAAAGGAACTGTACTAATTTAATTCATAATTTAGGTCCCACTATTTTTCATTGCTTTACCTCTTGTAATCATCCTAAATTTTCCCACAAATATAAGATAAATTTGAATCCCAAATCCTGAATTTGCTCATGCACAAATATAAGATAAATTCATATCGACGTAAATAATAAAAATCTTCGTTAAAAGAAGCGTAGTATGGCAGGTCTATTCATTCGTATAAATGTAAGGCTTGTGAAGAAACGATTGACAGAACAATTCCTCTGTAAAATTTAAGCAGGTTATTTAGTAAACAGGAAAGCAACACAAAATGCAAAATATTATCTTAAAATAGACGTTGAATGGTTTTTCATCGCATAGGTTTAGAGGAACTACCTCAACTTTAATACATATACCTGGAGTTTTAAAGAAATCTACACAAACCAGCAGACTCTTTTCAATTCACCACGCCAAAATGCTTTGTCCCAAAGCCTATAGTATAAGAATAAATCAGAACATCAGTTGGCCGAGAGGTAGATCAGCATTGCTGAATTCATACATACATTGTTGCAAATGTGTCACATTTCGATTAAATATCACAATGGTTACTAATTGGAGCAATCAAGACAATCGTAACTAATTGCCTACAAGAATAACGTACATAATTGAGGCTAAATGGCATTATAACAAATTGTGGCGTTAATCTCAATTCTCTAGACTTTTATAATCAATCTTTGCCGAAAAACGAAGCAGGCTGAATTATTTAGAGCGATATTTCCCCACCCAATTGTAGACGCTGCAGACTATTATCAATCATAGTGACGCGTCAAAGATAACTAAAAGTAAAAGATTGATTATATTTGAAAAATGTAGACTCATTAGACGATATTATGACATTCCCAAGTTGGGGTATCGTTTATCATGGCCACTGCACGTCCAATTTCATAGTTGAAGTCTTTTTGTCCGACATATGAAATGCAGATTGAAGTATTCTGATGCAAATGAGTGAGGGTTATGCACGATGCGTGTACGAAAGAATTTTAATTGCAGATTTGTGATCATACTGCATAACATAAACAACATCAAAATATCCGGTTACGGTAGATCATGCCATTAAAACTGAGGGTGCGACAATGTGGGCGAAAAGTCGATATGGACGCATGAAAAACGTTTATCTACACTAGGGTAAATCTATGCGATCCCCTGTTTGAGAGTTGATTTCAAATAGGTTGTCTAAGGTATGCTAATAAGGCGCTATCACGTCACGAATAAAAATCCTTCCTTGACCAGATTGCAACCCCACGGCAATTTAACACTCCGCGATTAGATTACAGGCAATAAATAGCAAATATTGTGTGCCACATTTTAGTTTTAACCACGGTCATTATTTTTCTTTATTGCTGTATTGAATATTGGACATATGCTTCGTTTCTACCGATTTTAGAATAGATATGACAGATTTAAATGCTTAAACCACTTGTAATAATAAATAAATTAACACCAGACACATTTCGTAATGCTTTAATGCGTTTTAGGTTTACAAAGAACAGCGTTGCTCTCTGCACTTAAAACGCTTGTTGTTATTTTTGAGAATAGAAATATTGCTTTATAGTAACTATCGTGTAGTAACAGGCGGAGTAGAGTTCTGCACATGCTGATCCGCAATCGGCACTACATCATAGTACACATTGTATATAGCTTGATATATTCTAAAGCGGCCTTGAGACATTGTCCATTTCCATACAATCGTCATGGATTGTTGGAGTGTTACATAACATATACGTGTAAAGCATTCTCGAGCCAAAAATATACGAAATATAATCATTTTGAAGTTTAGGTCTCGCATTGAAGACAAATCTTTAGAGCTTTTATAGTTTCGTCGAAATATTCAAATTCACTTTTATTTATTTATATTTTCATTTGTACTTTATCGCTCGCCTCGATTCCAATTGGTTCTAAGATTACCTATGGCACGACCTCATATATCAACGCTGTATTGAGCTGTAAGCGAACCGTTTCCTTATAATATGCACAAGAAATTTATTTCCACAAAGCTAAGTTTATTAATTCAAGGCAGTACGTGATCATATTCGTGTCAAACGTATTACATATGAATGAGTACAAATCTTACCGTTCACTAAAACTCTGATACAACCCCAACTTTGTTCTGCAAGTTTCTTGGACGATGCGAAGCGAGTTTGTTGTGTTTGTGGTTCTTGAATTTCATGAAATCATAGTTAAATATCTGCTGATTAATATTTTCGTGGACATCGAAATAATCTTGATCCGTCACACACTTTATCTCACGACGGGGGAGTTGTTTTGCTTTAATTTCCGTTCGTTCAATCTTGTTGCTATGTGTTAGGATAACGACCCGCGCGAAAAAAAAAAACGTTCAAAAGTCGATCGAACGCTTTGACTCATGAATAATCAAAGATCTCATCCACGCTTGGCTCCAATCTGTTTAATTAAAAACGTGTGGAGCTCCGGAGGTTGAGAGAACCTGATTAAAAGATGCGGTAATTGATTGATTTATTAACGAGTTCTTCTATCCACAGTCGCTTGATGTAGGTTGTTGACTTTGATAACACTCTTAGGTTTGCATTTGCTTTGCGCAAAGCACGCGCGGTATGCAAATTAACGTCAAGATGTGCGTCTTGACATGTTTCCATGGAAACGAAATGGAACGTTATCAGATGGTATAACGTAAAACCAATATACTTGGTTGGGATGGATATACAATCTAAAATACACGATACCTCTTCAAAGCTCAAAGTTTATAGACTTATGGAAATAGAGCACTCTAATCTGCGTCTTCCAGAGTTATTTGCCTGAAAACCTTTGCCAGTTCCGAGGAATAATTAGGGAAGGAGGCAGTGCCCAACCCGCCTGATAAGGCTGTGTTACAAGCAGCCTGTACTTTTGCCAATTGACCTTGTGACCAAACTAACGGAAAGACAAAAATTCTCGGCGTTTCAACCAAAGGGACTTCGTCAGGAGAGTGGGTCGAGACTTTTTATTGGTGTAATTCAAGCAGCTGTTCCACATTTGAATCCATACATCTTATCTTATGGAAGGTTGAACAGCCCAAACTATGGAATTAGGAGAACTTTGCTAAAATAGTTGCTAAAATACACATAACCGCTTCCCCTAAAACCCTTCTTCAGTGCTGTAGGAGAACTGACTTTGCAGAAAGCTTTAAAACATTTACTCGTATACTTATTTACAGAAAGAAGAAATTAAAATCATTCAAGCCACAACTAAGATTAGGCGAACGGCAAAGAATCTTTATGTAATTTTAACATGCACTTGTTGTTGAAGACTTGAAGTGCTTACTTTAATGGATCACAGTGGTTCTTTGTATTAGGCAAATTAATTGCCAAACAAAACCTTTTTAATAAAGTAGAGATGGCTGCGCCGTCGACGTGTCACTTTGCAAGAAAGAGTCATTCAAGTCATTTATTTTTAACTGCTGTGGTGTCCACATTTAGGCTGCCAGGATCGCGATGAAGTTGCAAATCTTCTTGCAAGTTATAGTCAGGCGTGCAGTTCGGTAACTTAGGTTTAACAGTGAAACAATTTATGCTTTAGATATTTCGCTTCTATCAGCTGGGATGATATAAGCGAGGTACAGTTATAGCCACGATGTAGTTACCATCACTATATATTTCTGATTTCTTTTTTAAAAGCTTGCTTTTTTAACTTATCCTCCACAACAGCCTTTAGCGTCATTATGCAAACGAAAAAGCTTACACTGATCTAATACAGAGTAATGGAACCTAACCTAAGCACAACAGCTGGAGTAGAAATCATTTGGAACTGTTTGCTACATATTTCACCCGGCTTTGTGGAAAGTTTACGGACATTGAAACCAATAATATTTTATGCAACATCAAAATTTATTTCTACGACACGAAAGTGACAAAACTAACACGCATTTGTTAGTTCTACATTAATTCTACATGTAAAATACTACAGCAAATGAAATAAAGTCGTGTTCATCCGTCATTTAACCAAGACCAATATCCTTTCTTGAAATCAAGCAGTTCAGCCACGGAATATTTTGCACTAAATAACAGAAAAAAGTTCATTTAAAACTTACAATCTTCATTGGGAGTTAAAAAATATAAGCAGAGTCAGCGGGGAATGAGCTTGGTGTATACTTTATCTAAGACCAACCTATCGGTATTTAGATCACGTACAGGAAATTCGACATAAGTGCAGGCCTATTGTCCGACCTTCCCCCTCTTCCCATAGCTACGGTCTTACCTTGTGGTATGAACAGGCATTGAAGCATCTTCTTCCACATGGGTGACTAATGGTGCGACATCGGGTACAGAACCGTGGTACATTTATACAGATCCTCATTCTGACTCGAACTCGCTTAATCTTCCACACGAAGCGAGGTCGTTGTCCACGATAGCCTGGGATGTAGAACTTGTATCTCACGGTCACAAATCTGATCACAAAGCGACATATCCTCCTGAAGCCACATCGACGCTTCTTGCAAACACAACGATAGCATCGTCTGGGCAAGCAAATACGTTTACATCCGCAGCTCCTACACCAGAACCTTCCCTTTCTATAGTTTCTGCAATTTCCAAAACCTATAAACATATAATATAACAGATATATACATGACGTCATGCTGTTATCTTTGAATTAATAGTATGAATCAGCGTTGCATATAATAATACTGAAAATATACATCTATGTTATAATTTAAACATATAAAAACAATGTTTGAATATATGATTTAAAAGATAAAAAAAATTAAAGATATGAAAACAATGTTTGACAGCGTTGAATGACAATTTTACCGAACAAAAATCTTTTCAACGTAAAAAATTACTACAATTAAAAATTACTAAAATTTCTCAAATTAAAAATCAATCAGTCGTACACAAAAAAGCTAAACCAGGAAAATTGTTATGTTATGAAAAAATGTTTTAATGGAATGAATGAATATCATCTTTGATTGCAAATTGATTTTCAGAGAGGTCCTGGAGACCATCCTAGGAAATGATATTATTCCATCTTTCAAAATTTTAGTAATTCATCCACAAACTTCTTTTGCAAAACGATTGAGCAGAGCGTATCTCTAATTATTATACTCTCAGATGAGGCGTTTAATACTGAATCCTCAACTCCAAGAAAACATGGTCTGTTTAGGCAAAGCTAAAGAGATTTAGTTACGTAATTGGTCTGAATCTACGACTCGGTACTGGAACAATTGCAATAATTTTTGCCAAGATAACAATAATGAAATGACTATATCGAGAATTTCAGGTAATGAGTTTTGAACCCTTCAATAGCACCCGAGGAAAATTCTGGGCACAATTGATCTCATTATGATGCACAAAATTCTCAAAACACGTCAATGAAGATGATCATCTACATCAAGAATATTACTGACCTCGTTTCTCGGTCTGGTCATTCGCAACTTCAACGGTTTCTTCTGGGCAAAGGAAAATTAAATGAAATTCATTAGCATGTTCTACGTATATCATGCATGTACTCATAATTGTAGTAAGGGTGAGAGGTTTAGCTTGCACTCATTTTGGAAGATAACCATGTAAAAGAACCGTAACGCTAGATTTCAGACTGCATTGTATCATCTGCATGCATACTAGGGAGAGTACGTAGGAGGAACACGTGTAAAAACCTATAATAGAGCCTTAAGAAACACGATATTTCTAATATCGCGTTAGGAAGTAATTCCATTGAATGTGTTACAATACCTTCATCTTCTTCAGTCTCTTTATCTTCGTTTTCTTCGTCAGCTTCAGTCTCTAGCTCTTCGTCGGCTTCCGTTTTTTCTTCGTCAGCTTCCGCGTCCACTTCGTCTCCTTCCGTCTCCTCTTCATCGGCTTGTTCCTCGTCGGCTGCGACGTCCGTCGTCTCAGGCTGATCTATCATCTTCTCGCTATCAGCGACTGCTGGAGTTTCCTCCTCCGCTGCAGCGACTGTAAATCAATGAAAAAAACGTTGGTCTGGGCTTTTGTCCGGCACGATTTTACCTACAACTTAAAAATCTCACAAACTCTCAAAAAGATGCTCTATATTATGCTGGTGGAAAAAGTTGTCGTTCTGAAGATTTTGCAATTGCTTGATTATTCTTTTGATAAATCTTTACCACGTTTCATGCAGCGGTTCTATCTAACATTATGCCATCTATCGCTGAATCGACTCGTGTGAATAGGGAAAGTGATGTATCCACAATTTTATTCAGAGGAAGCACGGGAAACCTCAGGACCTCGTAGAATGTCAATAAGATATTTGGAAACACTATGCTCTATATTAACAAAAAATCATGAAACTTACCAAAAACGCAGGCCGAGGCCAACAAGAGAAAACAAATCCACGCAAAACTCTTCATCGTTTTAATCTCTTCTTTAAACTGCTTCTTGCTTGTGGTGCTAAGACCGAGTGATGTGGTGATAAAATGCGCTCCCTTTTATATGCACTGCCTCAGAGTTGATTATAATATATGCAGCAGACTTAACGATGGCATCGCCTTGGTTGCAATGCCCCAGCATTCGCCAGTAATTTAAAATCCATCAACCTGAAGATAAGTAATATTGTCAAGTTCACATCCTGTGTGACTCAAAGAAAACAGGAATCAGAACTGAGTGCGATACTTGGCAAAAAAACAAAAAGATCCGATGGACAATGTTTTTCACATGTTTATAGGCTGATGAAGACTTCCCGTAATAGCTCAAGGGTTTGCATCTTTCGGCATCCTTTCCATTTCTCATTTAAATATGGATGCTGAAAGGTGCATGTTTAAAGAATTAGCTCCATATATATGCATGAAATGCTTAAGATCGTACTAGATTAATATTAAGCAATTAAAACCATTTTATGAGCGAAATAAACATTGTATGAAAAATTTAACTAGATCGGCCATTGATTTATCTCAGTCAATCTTTCTCTGAATGTTCACATGTTAAATTGAACTCAACTTAACTTAACCCGTTTTCTTGAACAAAAAGCTGCTTTTTGTCAGTTCTACTTAACCCTAATCTCATATTTTGTTCATTTATTTTAAATCTCTGGGAACTGGACATTCAAAAAGTGTTTTAATTTCTTCTTTATCACTCCTAAGCAAAACTGTCGGCCATTTTGTTTTTGTTACTCACCGCCAGTGCTCACCGCATATGAGCTGATATCTGATGAGTATCTCGACCAATCAGATTGCAGAATAGCTCATATACAGTGAGTAGGTATATTATAATTACTGTTAGCAAGATGTAAGCTGCCCACATACTTTACGTACGGTGCTCATATCGTGCGAGGTGCAAGAGGTGGAATTGCCCTGTTTCAACTTCAACTACTTAAAGGTGTAATTACCGGGCCAATCTAAGCAGCATTTTTTAGAATGCGTGGGGGAGGATTTTGTTTTTGTGAAAAATCTAGATATTGAACGAAAGTTGTTGTTTCGGACGCCATGCATCTTTGAATGAAGCTTAAAGGTGGCAGTAAAAATTTTTAACAGCTACAAACTAAATCATCAATATGGAGAAACACCGCTTGTATTTGTTATAGCTTTGGAGAGCTTTCGATCCGTTAACCTTTATAACGAGGGAATTATTATTTGATAACGG